AATATATTGCTGCCTCTAAGCTATCCAAAAAATTATACCCATCAATTGGTGCGTATATTTCAGTTGAAAATCAAATTATAGGACCACATTGGGGAGAGGAGATATGATAGCCCTCTCCAATTACCTGAAGAGGTAACACCTGGAAGAGCATGACCTGTGCTCTACTGACTCAGAATACAAAGTGAAAGACATGCAATACTGGCCTTAAATTATAGGTTCCAATTGAATGTTAGGACAAGCTCTAATGTAAGAGGAGTCAGTGGTTGAGTTAGTTACCTAGGGTAATGGTGGCCTCCTTATAATTGGATGTATTAAAGCAGAGGTGAATAGACGGGGGAATGCCTTAATAGATTTCTGCACTTAACGGGTAGATTTAGTAACATAAATAACCTTTGCCAAGTCTAATTTTAAGGACTGTTCATTTAAAACAGCTGCATTAATTATGCTTGGAAATTAAATGTGATTCTTTCAATTTAGCTCTGATCATATAACTTGTCAAAACGTTAAGGTATCCTTAGATATCACTTCATGAGTTCCAGTCTTTGAGAACAAGGCAGGGAATGCTCAGAAATAAGATTTTCTACTTTGGCACTCAGTTGTAGAATATTGCTTAGAAGTGAGCCTGACACAAAATGTTTTCCTTTTTTTCAGCATCATGTCGATTTACTGAAAGCAAGAATTCAGTCTCAATTTCTAAAGCACTTTAGTTAATTTCAGGCAAATGAAAAGCTAAATTTCAAACTTTAAATAAAAGTGTATAAGCTCGTTCGTTCAATCATCAGTTTCTCAGTGTTATCTCTTATTTTTCATATCTCACCATCAATCTTTCCTTCCCCTTTATATCCATCTCCTTTTAATCCCTCCTGCTTCTATCTCAGCTTTCTGATTTCCCTTCTCTTCATATCTTTCTGTCACCCCCAATTTTCTTTCATCTCCTACAGCTTTCCAGACTTTCACTTCTTTTTACTTTGCCAATCGCCATCTCTTCTCCTCCATATTGAATTTTGTGATATCACAACATAGTTCATTTTTGTATGCAAACAATTAACACACACACACACACACACACACACACACACACACACACACACACACAGAGGAAGTTTGCAAGAGAAAATGGATCCTTTGGAGTGGGTAATTGCAACAGATTGATATAAAATAGAATAACATTTCCACTTGGTGTCCCTTGAATCCAAGAAAAGGATAATCAGTTTTCCCCTGTGATCTGAATAGTTGAACAAATTCCCAATAAAAATATTTGGAATTCATCCAAGATATAACAATAAAAAATGGCTTATAATAAACATATGAACCTTGTGTGATGCAGACTTTCCCAAAGCAAAATAAAATAAAGAGGTACTCATTGACTGTAAGGAACAAACACAAACTTGTTATGCATAGTAGTTCATAAAACTGTAACAGTAATAATGGGAAAATTAAAATACTTCACAGAATTTACCCAACATGTCAATCTAATGACATTGACAATCTTAGGGAACAAGATTTTTGTGGATATTCTCGCCTAGGCAATTTATCTATACATCAACCATTCTCTAAAGCTTAACTAGAATAGTTAAATACATATCAAATATAGAAATATTCTATACAGAAGAAGATAATAATGGACAGTGCAGAAGAAACCTTTTCTTGAATTCATAGTTTAATTACTCCCATAGATATTACACATGCAATGTTAGCTTGATTTCTCACATGCCAATAAAAGTGGCTCTATTATTAGTAGCTGAGGGATAGTTACCTTAGAAAGAGGCCTTAATATGAAAATATATTTGAATGGGATAGCCAGAATCCCAAAGCATCATATTCAGTACATCAGTACGTCATATTCAGATGAAAATTATTTCTTTATGAGATAGGATGACCACCCATAAAGAGTGTTGCCATGGCATTATAATCTGAAAATGCAATTTCAAATTAGTCTAGATAAATCTGAACCTTTAGAGATCTCACTATTTCCTTAATCCCTGATTCTATATAATAAATTCCTTCAGATTTATTGACCAGCGAACAGATACTTGGTTTCATGTAAGAGTCAGAACAGAGTCTGCAAGGAAGAAAACAGACTTATCAGTGATTAAAAAATATCTGTGCTAAGGGATCCCTAAACAATACCAACTATTGCCCATTTCCTCTCTTTTCATCATGGCATAAAATATCCGTTCAATATCATTAGCCTCACGTTATTGCCGGTGGCAGGCGACTTCGTCGGTCGCAGCTGTTTGCTGCCTCCCGCCTGTTTCGCGTAAAAGCCGGTTTGACAGCCAGCACCAGCTGTCAAACGGCTTGATACCTTTCCCCTGGGTATAAGGGGATAGGTGAGCTGCCCGGGGTAGGAGTTGAGTTCCCGAGTCGTCCTATATGGACGATGTAGGTGAGAACTCCTCC